CAGAATCAGAGTCTATTTGAACAAGATGCCCAGGAGAATCCCGTGCACACTAACATGCCCTGATTTCTTCTACTACCTATGGGTCCAGCCAGAAGACAGGTGGCCCTTACTGAACTTCCCACTGGATGGTGGACGGCATCCACACTAGTAGGACCGAGACATCAGAATTAGCTGTTTCTCTGCCCCTTATCCATGTCCTTCCACTTCCCTTTCTGCTCATTTCTTGATGTCATCCTGCATCTCTTTTCCTTCATTTGGTTAATTGTCCTTTGCACCTTCCTGCCCCCTCCCCACCTTCCATCTCCTCCATCAACAATCAATTCCAGTCACTGTGTGCCCAACTGAGCTCAAACCTCTCCAGAATCCCCCACAAAGCACTGATTTTACCCCCGTTTCTTTATGTTCCCACACTAAGACCTATGTCCTCTCTCCAGGAAAAAAACCAAATACCCCTCATGACATAAGATGCTGCCTACTCCCCATCTTTCTCTGCCACAACCTCGTTCCCCATTTCAGAAAGCATATTTTTCACATGGGCGATTCCTGCCTCGAAACCTTTGCATGGGCTGTGCCCATTCTGTGAATGCCCGCCCTTTGCTTTAACTCTTCCTCAGGTCTGTTTATTCCAGAGAACTCAAACCCCAGATTTTCCATGGTTTGTTTCTTAGCCATACAGATGACATGGCTTTTCTTCTGTCTATCCCCTCTGCCCTTGCTGTTAGTTTTTGATTCCACATGCTCTTGTTGAATTAATCCATTGTTTTATGTGTGAGAGAATACGTGAAGGGAGACTTAGAAGCAAGAGGGAGCACAACAGCATTGAGTGAGCACGCAAGACAATATAAAGATGATTTAAAAAAAGAACCCACAAGTCCCCTAATACTTCTGAATTACAGAGCTTCCTAGGGAGAGCCAGTTGCTGTTGATATGATTTTGAATCACGTTGGTACCATGTATATCACATAGAACTGTGCTCCATTGGGTTTCAGTGGCTGATATATCAGCAGTCGACCCCAGGCCTTTCTTCTGATGAGACTCTGAGTGGGCTCGAATTGCCAACCTTTCTTTTAGGAGCTGAGCTCATTAACCATTTGTATATCCAGGGACTCTAGTTAATTAAAAGGAGGAGGGAAAACTCCTCTTTACTAAAGAATGATAACGAATAAAGACAGAGGGAATGTTTGGAATAGAAAGGCACCATTTAATCCACCCGAGCAATACTCAGTTCAATCAGGAATCATTTGTGGCTAAGCCATTGGATGAAGGCTTGTTGGGAAACAGAATTTTTGTGTGGCACTGTAGGATAAGACTAGACTGCTAACCTCAAGGTCAGCGGTTCAAACCCATCAGTCACTTGTTGGAAGGTCTCTATGAGTCAGAACTTACTCGACAGCACTTAACAACAACATGAGAATTACACTACAGATTACTTCCTAATTCAAAATGTCCTTACAAAGGAGAGCTATGGTAGATTCCAGCCTATTCAGGTGACCAAACAAAATCACTGTTGATGGGCTATACTGATTTCCTACTCACGCCGATGGGATGCACTAAGACAGACACAACACCTTCCTTGTAGTACTTCTACTAAAAATAAAAATGTTTAACTTGAACGTAGTCATGAGGAAAGGGGCAGAAAACATTGTTTTGAGTGACGTTCTGTAAAACAATCTATAGTATCAAAAAATGTTATTGTCTCTGCTGCAGAGCAAGTGGGGGGCACTGTGGAGACATGGCAACTAAATGCCATGCATGATCCTCAATTAGATTTTGGGCTTAAAGATAAAAATAGCTATAAAAGGCATTATTGGGATAGCTGAGGAATTTTCACTGTGGACGTACATGAGATTGCTGTACTGTATCAGTGTTAAACTTCTTGTGTGATAGCTGCACTGTGGTTGTGTGACGGGAATAACTTATATGATGGGAATAACTAACTGCTTGTGTGATAGCTGCACTGTGGTTGTGTGAAGGGAAAAACTTTGCACTTAGCTGATGCATACTCCAGTGTTATGGGAGACACATCACAGTGTCTATAACTGAGTCTCAAAGGATCAATAGTGAAAGAGGGGGAGAAGGGATGAAGGGGAGAAGGCAGGGAAAGGGAAGAGAGAGAAAAAGAAAAAGGGAGAGATTGTGGCAAAATGTGAAAATTCATGAATATTTCAAAAAATGAAAGCAAAAATTCTAGAGAGAATGAGTGAGTGAGTGAGTGAGTGAGTGAAATTGTGTTTGAGAGTGTTTAAGAATGAGGGAAAGCATGCGTAAGAAAGAATAACTGAATTTGTGAAACAGACTACCACTCGTCCGTCAGGTTGTCGTACTGTGTTGGCTTGTGTTGCTGTGATGTTGGAAGCTGTGCCATGGGCATTTTAAATCCCAGCAGGGTCACCCATGGTGGGCAGATTTCAGCAGGACTTCCAGACTAAGACAGTAGGAATGAGAGGTGCACCACTTCTGTAAGGTGAACTGTGGAAAACCTTATGAATAGTAGCAGGACAGTGTCAGATATAGTGCCACAAGATAAGGCCCTCAAAATACAACTGAGGAAGAGCTGCCACCTCAAATGAGAGTTGACCTTAGTGACATGAATGGAGCAAAACTCTCAGGACCTTCGTTTGCTGAATGAGAAGAAACAATTGTAAACATCCATTGATAATTGGAATATGGACTGTACGAAGTATGAATCTAGGAAAGCTGGAGGTTGTCAAAAATGAAATGGAATGCTTAAAGATCATTGTTGTTGTGGTTAAGTGCCATAGAGTCGGTGCTGACGCATAGCGACCTTGCACAGGGTTTCCAAGGAGCAGCTGGTGAGTTTGAACTGCCGATCTTGTGGTTCAAACTGACCTTATGGTCTGTGCTTATCCTACAGTGCCACACCAGGACTCCCCACTAAAACTAGAAATGATGAAATTGAAGAATTTGACCACCTGCTTCAGTCTGAAATTGATCAAGAGGCATGGTAATTACTAGTGACTGGAATTCAAAAGTTAGAAACAAAGAGGAAGGATCAGTAGCTGGAAAATATGGCCTTGGTGGTAGAAGCAATACTAGAGATCGCATATAGAATTTCGCAAGCCCAATGACTTCTTCTCTGCAAATGCCTTCTTTCAAAAACATAAAAGGCAAAAATACAGGTGGACCTCACCACATGGAGTACACAGGAATCAAATTGATTACATATGTGGAAAAAACAATGGAGACGCTCAATCTTATCAGACAAAACAAGGCAGGGCCAGCCAGCGGAACAGTCTATCCATCAGTTCATCATATGCAAATTCAGGCTGAGGCTGAAGAAAATTTAAATAAGCCCACAAGAGCCAAAATATAACTTTGAATATATGACACATGAGTTTAAAGATTATCTCAAGAATAGATTTGGTGCATTTGACACTAATGATGGAAAACCAGAAGAGTTTTGGAATGACATCAAGAATATTATCCATGAAGAAAACAAAAGGGAAAGATGAAGGTAGGGGAGGACCCAGAGAGGAGTGCAAGAGTTAAGAGGAGTAGAGAAGTAAATATTGTTTAACTGATGGTACGTGGAGAGGATCTTAATCATTGAAATAAAATCAAGTGTGTGATTTGTTGAATAAAAAACTAATGATCTACTCTGTAAACCTTCACTCAATTCATAACAAAAAGTTAACACAAAGACAGGAAAGAAAGAAAATACCAAAATTGATGTCAGCCCAGATTCTGAAACTTGCTCTTGAGCCTAGAGAAGCAAAGCAACTGGAAGAAATGGGGAAGTACAAGAGCTGAACAGAAGATTTCAAAGGGCAGCTAGAGAAGACAAAGTAAAGTATTATAATAAAATGTGTGGAGACCTGGAATTGGGAAATCAAAAGGGAAGAACACATTTAGCATTTCACAAGCAGAACAAACTGAAGAAAACTTTCAAGCTTCAATTGATAATATTTAAGGGTTCTATGGGCACAAGATTGAATGATGCAGGAAGCCTCAAAAGAAGATGGAAAGAATGCACGAGTCAAGGTACCAAAATGAATTGGTCGATGCTTAACCATCTCACGAGCTAGCATATGATCAAGAACCGATGATACTGAAGGAAGACGTCCAAGCTGTGCTGAAGCATTGGTGAAAAACAAGGCTTTAGGCATTGATGAACTACAAGTTGTATTCTGATGCAGCACTGGAGACACTCACTGGTCTTTGCCATGATATTTGGAAGACAGCTACCTGGTGAACCATTTGGAAGAGATCCATATTTGAGACCATTCCAAAGAAAAGTGACCCAACAGAATACAGAAATCATTGAACAACATCATTAAGATCACATGTGAGGTACAGTCAATTATTTGATGTCTCTTCTAGCCATAGTATGTGACTCTTGCCAACCAACGTTTCTGCTTTGCTGGGTCTGGGTAAGAGAAGGTAGGAGAAGATATTGATAGGCTGACATGATTCAACTGTGAATGTTAAAGTTCATTTTAATCATTAAACGTGTTTCAAAATGAACCATCTCTGAAGCAGGAGAGGGATTTTACTACCATCATAGAAGAACCAGGAGTGGAGTGTGTTCTTTGGACCCCAAGATGCCTGCACATTGACCCACGGACAGAAAGTTGTGTCACTGGAAGAGTGGTGAAAGAGCAGCAGTAGAACCAAGAGTCAGAGCAGGACACAGAGCAGCGGGGTTCCCACCTGCCTGCAGAGCAAGGAGAGCTCACTGGCTCTGGGCAGGAGGTTTGCTTGCAGAGTAGGGGTCCTCCAGGCACTTAAGTGGGAGAGCTAGCTTTGCTAAGCCACAAGCTAGAGCTGAGTGACTTCAGGCTGAGCTTATGGAGGAATGGTGTGTCCTGTGGGCA